TTTGGGTAGCACGAGACCTTTCCCTCGGCCGGGCCCCGCGGGCCCCCGTCCCCCGGACAGGGCCCCGCTCGTGGCCCGCGCGCCGCCGGCAGGCTCGCTCCCCGCGCTCTCCGCGGCGCCGCGCGGCGCGGCGGGCCCCTCCTGCCCCGCGGATCGCTCTCCGGGCCTCCCCGCGGCCACGCCCCCTTTCCCGGCCTCCCTCTTGCAAGTGGCGTCGCCCCGGCCACGCCCCCGCCCCGCCCCGGCCCGATGGGGGCTTCTGGGCGCCCGCCCGCCTTCCCCGGAACTGCCCGCTCGCCCGCCCGCCCGCCCGGGGAGGCCCACGAGCGGCGTGCCCGGGGCTCGCCCGCACGCGGGTCCAGCCCTCGCCGACCGGCTCCGGTGTGTCCTCCTGGGGGCGGAGGCTTCGCGCGTTCCTGTGCGGGAGTCGGTGCCGCGATCCGTCGCCGGGCGGAACGGCCCAGCAGCTCCTCTGCAGCCCGAGATCCGGGATGCCCGCCTCTCTCGCCAAAGGCTTTGGGTAGCACGAGACATGTAGCTGGGGGCCCTCGGAGCTGAGGGGGCGCCGCCGATCACGGCAGCCGCGGTGGGCGGCAGGGAGACCTGGATCCGCTCGGGATTTGCAGGCGATCAACAAGGCTTTCTGACCCTGGTTGTTTAAAGGGAAGAGCAGCCGCGCGTTCCTTAAGTTACTCTGCTGAAAAGAAGAAAGTTTGCTGGAACCGGGAGCGAAGTGTGTGTGGGTGGGTGGGTACGTAGGTAGGTAGGTAGGTAGGAAGGAGCTGCAAGGTCTGCCCAGCTCTGGCACAGACTGCATATGTTTGGGTAAATGTAAATGCAAATGCCTTACATTATAAGTACATCCTTTTGCACTGAGTCGATGGGTCTTCAGGTTCTGGTATAAAGGCAAAAAAGGATTTTCTAATCTTGATACCTGCTTTTCATGCAATGGAAAATATTGGGCTGGACCAACTTGTTAAGAAAGTAACTGAAACTTCAAAAGCATCACCTGTTTAAATTACATTTTTCAAGATGAGTTTGTTTTTTCGCTCTCCTGGGTCTTCTGTCCCATGCTCTGCATATGCAGTGATGGGGCTTTCTTCCACCCCTGAGAGTGCTGCATGCAGCCCTTTCCTTAAAGTGAGAGTGGAGAGAGTTGAACCTGCCTTTGCCAGCTAGTTCTTACGTCGCTGTCGCCCTGCAATCACTGGAGCATCTCAGTCTACAAAATAGTGATTCCTAATTTTTGTAGTCAGATCAAGGTGATTTCATTATGAAGGCTGTCTAGTCTTGTAGAAAACCTGTTGAACTTCCTCACGTGTCTTTAAACTTGTATGCTTAAATCCATGGAGTTCCACCAGCCCGTCCTGCGAACACTTGAGAGGGAGAGAGAGAGATCCCCTCAGCCAGTGAGGTTGTGGAATTGCGAGTTTCTAAACTCTTGCATGTTGGGAGAAGTTATATTCTTCCAGCCCTGGCTATTTTCTGTCCTTCAGCAGAGCTTTCTGCTTTTTCATACAGCAATCGCACATGAGTAAAACTGTCCAGGTATCTTTAGTGAGCAGTTCAGTAGGAATGGAAATGCCAAGCCCACCTGTGGGAAGAGGTCCATCTAGTTTAAAAACAAAAAGAGATCCATGACAGGAGGCAGGAGAAGGAACTTCTTCCCTCAATTCAAGATGCAAAGGAAAATGCCAGGCCAGGTCCTCTTACTTCAACCCCTGATTCAGTGCGATACGGAGGCACGTTTGTGGTGGCTCGAGACAAAGCCTCCAGAGACAGAAGGTGCCTCTTTACCGCCTGTTCGGGAAGGGCGACCAAGGACCGTGGGCCATTCCCCCTTTCAAGCTGTCAGTGTGGATACATGGAACGCAGCAGTGGAGGTGTGTAAATCATCCAGAGTATATGAGGTTTGCTGAGCTTTTTTTTTTTTAAAGCAGCTTCTCATGGTCATGGCTGCAAAGGCAGGTTGACAAAATCCCAGAGGTCAAACCACAGTCGCCCCGAAGGACGGCCCGCCTGTGTCCGGCGCGCCTCTTCTGCCTGAGGGCTGAGGGAAGGAGAGTGCGTTTTGCCTCACGAGCAGATGTGTGACGAGTCGAAGCAGCCCCCTGGTCCAGCAGCTCCGCGCTTTGGAGGTGGGACCTCCACCTCCCTAAACCCCCTGTGGCCAAGACACAGCCTTTCTCTCTCTCCTGCAGGCACCTGGGAGCCATGAAGGAAACGCTTCAAGACAAAGAGTGCTGGGGGCCGTCCCCAGGCCTCCGGGATCCCATGGGGCATCGGGACACGCTGTGCCGGTCTTCCCGGGAGTGGGGTGCACCTGAGCACAAACATGGTGGCTGCTTTGAGGGGAGCCGTCACTTGGCGTACGCGAAGAAGCAGCCCGCGGGCTTCACCCCTTTGTCCTCCAGCAGCGACGAGGAAGGAAAGTGGGGTCTCTCCGGCATGTCCAGCTGGGGAGTGGCAGAGGGCCCCTCCGACCCCGCTCAGAACAAAGCCGGCCGGGGGAAGGTGGCCAGGAGTGGCGGGCGGGCCTGGCCCTTCGAGGCGCGGCCCAGCTCCCATTTCAGAGGGCGCCCACCGCTGCTGGGGACCTCCAAGCGGCCCGGCTTCCGCCGGCGGCGGCAGCGGGCCCTGCGGGCCTTCCGGATGCTCCTGTATTCTAAGAGCTCTTTCCATTGGAAGCTGTGGGGCAAGATGGCATCCAAAGGGCGCCGCCGGGGAGGAGCGAAGCGGGCCCGGTCCTCCCTGTCCCTCTCCCCCGGCTCCCAGGCTGATGACGACCCCCTCCCCGTCTATAAAGTGAGCTGCCGCTTAGGGGAGGAGGACTGCCCGGGGGGAGCCAGGCGGAGGCCCTGCCCTGCCCGCTTCAAGCCCCGCCCGGCCGAGCCCCACCTGAACTATGAGCTGGACGCGGCCTTCCCCCCGGCTTCGCCCGCGCCTCAGCCCACCCGCCTCGGCCTGCTGGGAGCCCTGATGGATGATGCCTCGCCCTACCCCCAGTATGTGGAGCTGCGGAGGGTCAGTTTCGACAAGGACCCGGGAGCTATGGAGCTGGACGAGGAAGACGCTGCCGCCATGCTGAAGTACCCTGTGGGGGGTCCCCAGGCCTCCCCCAGAACTAGGAAGATCGGCGAGAGTGAGCACAGTCTGGACGGCGATGGAGGTAAACCTCGGCCTTGGCTAGGCCAAGCCTCGGTGTTTGTGGCGTGAGCCAAGAAGGGCTGCTGGGACAAAAGCGTTGAGCGTGTGGGTGCCGCTCGGTGGGCTCGCACAGCCTTCCGCAGCCAGGGTCCCTCCCCCCCCCCCCCGCTGTGACGGACTGCGAGGCGCACAGGTGGCGGTGGTGCCCCGGCAGGCCTGTGCCAGCCGGGAAGGGAGCGGATTGCGGGCCAGTGCAGTGAGAAGGGGCGGGGCTGGTGGGGGGGCTGCTCCGGCCCCGAGCCGGCGGGGACACACTTCCTCGGAATGTGGATGGTGGGGAGCGCGGCCCCGATGGCTCCCGCGCAACCCTGGCCTGTGCCAGGACCTCCCTGGGGTGCTCCCGGGCGAAGGCAGAGCCACCGCCAGTGCAGAGGGCAAATGGCAGTTCGGAGGAACGCGGGGGTGGGCGGGACCGACGGAAGGGGAAGGCCAGGCGGCCGCCGGCTGCAGCTTCCGGCTCTTCCTGCCGGCTGCTCCGCCTTAGGAGAGGCGTGTGGAGTGGAAGAAAAATGGCATGAAAGTCGGACGGCCAGTCCATTGTTATTATTATTATTATTATAACATTTCTATGCCGCCCCTTAGAGGTGGGTCTGGGCTGCAGGGGTTCTGCCCTGCCGCGAGCAACTCGCTGCCTCTCATCACAAGGGGAAGGGGAGAAGAGAGCGCTGCGACGGAGGACGGGAGTGGGGCGATCCTGCGAGGGGCTGCGTGCCAGAGCCCCTGCCTCACCTGTCGGGGCCCTCGGTCTGATCCCTGGCAGCCCCCGGGACAGCCTGCACTCTGGCTGGGGCGGTGCGGCCGCCTGTCTTCCCGGTCGGAGGCCGCCGTGGGACGCTCGGGCCCTTCCCGGCCGCTCACGCCGTCCTCCGCCTCCCCGTGCTGCAGGCTCCGCGGCTGCCCTTCCCAACGGGTTTGCCCCCCTCACTCCGGATGGCGACTTCTGCTCCCTGCCTGGCGTCACAGACGCCACCATCCTCATCAGCAACGTGTGCAGCATCGGGGGCCCCGCGGCCGAGGAGCTCTTCCAGGGCCCCCGGGACACAGACCGGCCGCTGGACCCTTCCGGCCGGGGGATCGACGCGGGGGGCCAGCCCGCCGAGGGGGCCCAGGACCGGCTCGGCGAGAAAGCCGCCCAGCACAGCCCGCTGAGGGAAGAGCACATCACATGTGTGCACAGTAAGGCCCGGCGGCGGGGGGGGGCAAGGGGGGCCGGCCGGAGGGCGTGACGGGGAGGCTGGGCAGGCCCCGCGGCTCCCCCTGCTCTGCGGCGGGCAAGCAGCGAGGAGAGGACTAGGGCGCGATCCGGGTGGGCGAGGGCGCCCGGGGTCTGGCAGGGCCGGGTTGGGGGTCCGCCCCGCCTCAGGCAGCCTGCCTGCTCTTGCTTCGGGGAGGCAGGCACGAGGGCGGGAAGGGGCACCGGCTTTCTCTGGGTTCCGTGCTGCACAGAAAGGGGTGCGTGGATTGATGGGGGGCAGCGAGTCCTCTCTGAATTCGGGGGCCCTGGCCGTCCCCAGCAGAAGCAGAGCGGGGCCCGTGGCGGCCAGGCCGGGTGGGTGGGTGAAGAGCGGCCCTGCCAGGTCAGGCCCAGCAGGGGCACACCAGCTGCCTGCAGGGCCCCCCTCGGGGGTGCGCAAGTCCCACCCGCCCCAGCTTCTCCTCGGGGTGTGCATGCACCTGTTCCCACTGATACTGACCAGTAGGACTGGCAGCCGCTGAAGGCCGCCGCCTCCTCCTCCGTGAATTTGTCCAGGCCCCTGTAAGGCCTTCCACGGGAATGCCACAGTTCAGCTAGGGCTGTGTGAAGCCCTGAGGCCATCAGCCTTATGGGAGGGACCCACATTCTAGCATGGGGGGGGAGGAGGGAGATGTCGCCCTCTGCCCTTCCCCCGCACCAGGCCCAATGCCATGCCCCCCCCCCACCCATTCCCTCGGCTGAACTCCCCTGCCCTGCATGTGCCGCAGCTGGTCCGGCTCGGAGGGGTCTCTTGTCCCAAGCTGCTCTCTGCTCTTCCCTCAGACATCCTGGACGAGTTCCTGCAGACATACGGCAGCCTCATCCCCATCAGCGTGGACGAGGTGGTGGAGAAGCTGGAGGACATCTTCCAGCAGGAGTTCTCCCCGCCCCAGAGGTACACCCCTTCTTCTCTCCCCTGTCCCCGGACAGCTTCCAGCCCAGTGCTCCATCTCCGCCCCCAGCGAGCCGGTTCTCCCAGGAGGCCTGGACACGCGGAATAAGACGGGGAAGGTCTGCAGCCGGTGCCAGGAGGCCAGCCGTCTCCAGCAGTCTGGGGATTTTCTGGGAGCTGGGAGCCAGCTTGGGTGGGCGGTGGAGCGGGTGGCCCGAGCCCCTCTGTCCTGAAGGGAGGCGCCCGGCCTGCCTGGGAGCGCAGCGACGGCCCTCCTGATCGGCTTGACTCTTCAGGTCTCGCGCAAGTCTGTCTGGGCTCAGTCACTCCATCCTCACACTTAGCTCTGCTTTCTATCCAGGACGGATTGTAAAAGCTGAGAGTCAAAATGAGCAGAATGCTGAGGCCTAATTAGGGATATATCAGGAGGTTCTTGTGGGGGAGAGAGTTTTCCTGGCCCCTCCATGGTGGCCGTTTGGGTGCAAATTCTTTCCGTCCCACAGAAGGAGGGGCGGACGGGGCTGCCGGTGGGCGCAGGGCACGGCTGAGCGTGACGGCAGCGCCGAGCGCACCGTGCTTCACGTTCATGCCAGGACGAAGGCTTCGCAGTTCCACACAGGGTGGGAATCTGCAGGCAGCAGCTTGTAATTTCAGGCTGGCCCCTCTGCCCACGTTGTTTTCCTAAATAGGAGAGCACTGAGCACGATCTTTTTATATTTATATTTTATATTATATTCAGGGGTGGGAGCCCCTCCTGGCCCAGAGTTTTGGAGATGGTCCTGGGACCTCTTTCCAGCAGTGGGTTGAGCCTCCGCGAAGGGCAAGGAGCGGCACCCGAGTTGCAAAGTGGCCGAGCGGCGGGTGGCTGAGGGACAGCAAGCTGGCTGCCGGGGGGGCGGGCGTGGCCCCCGGGTTGAGTGCAGGACCTCGGGGCCCCTGGGCCGGACGAGCCTCTGCGCCCCATAGCCAAGGGCGCTTGCTCACGGACTCTCTCGGGCCCAGCAGGAAGGGCATGGTGAACCAGCTGATCCAGTCCTACCAGCGCATGCCGGGCAATGCCGTGGTGCGGACCTTCCGGGTCACCTACAAGCGCCACGTGGTCACCATGGACGACTTGCAGACGCTCTATGGGCCCAACTGGCTCAACGACCAGGTGAGCCGCGCGGGGAGGCCTTGGGAAGAGGGGTGCCGCAGGGAGCAGGTGCCGGGGGCCGCCGGGCGGAGGGGCCGCCCCCCCGGCTCGGTCTGCTCGGAGCCAACGCAAATGGCTGGACTTGACCTGAAAGCGGGGAGGAGCACGTCCTGGGGCCTGAATGGGGCCCTGCTGCTCCGCTGGAACCTCTCGGGAGCCTTGCCCCCCTGTGCCGCCCCTGGCAAGCCCGCAGCAAAGGGGTCATGCCTGCTGTGCTTCCCGGTAGCACTGGGCTGGCAGGGGCGGTTTGACCAACTGGGGGGCCCTGTGCGCTGGGAAATTGGGTGTGTGGATGGAGCCCTGCTCTGCTCTGCTCCGCTCCGCTCCTCCAGTCCTACTGGGAAACGGCTCCATGCAGCTGGGTCTTGTTTCCAGCCGAAGCACAGGGACGCTGGGGTCAGCGCACTCTGGCCACGCTGTGAAGCGAGCCCGGATCGGCCTGGGGCTGCCCTGACTGAGCAAGTGGGTCCTCAGAGGTGGCCCCGGGCCAGGCCGCCTCGAAGGCGTGGCAGGGGTTGCGTGAGCCGACCTCCTCCGTGGCGGCAGCCCCCCAGCTCTGCCCTGTCCTCCCCAGAGAAGCCCCCCAGGGCCAGGCGAAAGCACGCGTGTTCACACAGACTTCCAAGAGGGGCCTCTGTCCTTGCTGCTCGCAAGGACTTGGAAGCGGGTTCCCCCCTTGCGAATGCTTTTGGATGCGGGTCACGCGCCACGGACTGTGTGCGCGCCTCTGTGTGCGGTGGCTTTCCCGCCTCTCGCCCCGCTTGCGTTCTGTTTGCTCATCTCCCTGCGCGCGCATTGCTAGGAAGCCGCAGGGGCCTTTGGGAAGATGCCCAGTCCCCGTCCCCTCTCAGGGCAGCGCCTCTAGCTGTCACTCAGGGAGAGGAGCGCCAGCCTACCTTGCAGGGCTGTCCTCGGGACAGCGCACAGGCAGTGCAAGCGGAAGTGGGCAGGAGGTCGATGGGGAGCCGCTGGGGAATCTCCGGGGGTCTCGGCCGCTCTTCAGGAAGGGAGTTTGGCTCTGGCTTCTTTTGGGTCAGCTGTAGCGGCAGCACGGAGGCCGCACGGGCCCCTTGGAATCTCCTCTACGGGCGCTCACGTGCAGGTTTCTGCCCACCGAGTGTGCGCCCCTGGGAGTGCCCGGGGGGAGCTCGTTCTGCCCCAGGGAGCCGCGGCTCTTCTGCGCCCGGCTTTTGTCGCTGGGCTTTTGGCGGGGGCATGAGCATTGTGAAAGTGTGCTCTGCCAGGCTCCGCTGCCGCCTCACGGGGAGCGTGTTCCTCCCTCGGGTTGAGGGTGCCCGCCCGACCACCTCCTCTCCTCCTCTGGGCAGGTCATGAACATGTACGGGGATCTTGTCATGGATACAGTGCCAGAGAAGGTGAGCTTCTGGTCCTGAATTTCCCGCTTGAGGTAGGTCGGGGAGCTGAAAGGGCCATAGCGAGCGGGCTGCCCACGCAGGTCACAAGCTGGCTGCTCGGGCTGCCCCTCCCTGTGCCACACGGCTTGCGTTGCACCCCGCGGGGGGAGGGCGGAGGAGAGGGAGGTGCCGCCCGGCAGTGGGTTGTGGCCGTCTCGAGGACCCCCATCTTCTGCGCTTCGAAAGGCAAGCGGAGGAAGGGGAAAGGAAGGAAGACGAGGAGCCAGACTCGAGGAGGACTGGGGAAGGCAGATAGCTGGCTTTACAGAGGCCAAGCGGGTCCCGCTTAGGAGTGGATTCCGCATCGGGCGCTGCCGAGGACCGTTCGGCACGCCGGCCCAAGCTGGTGCTCGCGCAGCAGCGGCCTTCCCCCGAGGCCCCGCGGGCCGGTGCGGCCTGGGGCGAGCCGCTGAACCCCAGCTGCGTCCCTGGCTGGGCTGGTGCCCCTCCCCACCCTCAGCCCGGGTTCCAGCCCCTCCCGTCCTGCAAGCAACACTCCTGTTGTTTCCCTGCCAGGTGCATTTCTTCAACAGTTTTTTCTACGATAAGCTACGAACCAAGGGGTACGAGGGCGTGAAGCGCTGGACCAAGAACGTAAGGAGCTGCCGGGGGCCGCGGGGCGCCTGCCTGGGGGGGCACAGGGGCTGGTGGGCGGCTGGGGCTGCATCAGGGAGACTTGGGCGTGGGATTGATACCTTGGTAGAGAGAATAATTCTGAAACGGAGCAAGGGGGACTTTCACCAGGAGTGCCTGTCTCACTGTTGACAACAGGCGTGGAGGGACTGGATTTAAATTTTAAAATCGGAAAAGAAAATCATTGGTTGGGGATAGTGAGTGCGCTTATAATAACAGGATTTTATCTTGTTCAGAACCGAAGGGGAAAATAAATACTATCTGTTCCCTGCGAATTGAATATTCACAAGTGTGTTTGCGGTCCAAATAAACTGTCCATGAAAAGAGTTGACATAATTTCCAAGGATAATATGGAAGGATAGGAAACATTTAGTCTCTAAACTGTCTAACTTAAAATGTGACCCAGAACCAGAATAAGTCCCAAACCGCCTGTGATTAAAGAGGCATAGAGCATATGGGGAAATGGGTCAGCGGAAGCATCAGTGGAAGAATGGACCAGATTAAACCTCAGCCCGGCAAGATGGCTTTCCGTTTAGGACCACGTGGCATAATACTTGCAGTGAGCCAAGTGGGTGCTATTTGCTGAACTATTGGGACTGGGAGAAACAAGGGATTTTAAAAAGTCTTATTTGGTAGAAATGGGCAGCAGCAGAAAGAACCGGGAGTGCTGTCTGTAAATACTAGCAAAAACATGGTCGGGCGCGAACCTTCTTTTGCTTCTTCAGAGTGATAGCTTTGTACACAAGATTCGTGGCTCCTGCGGCCGGAAGACTGCAGACGATGCTGTTGAGGAAGACATGCCCGGGCACCGTGCGGGGTCGCCCTGGTGGGCACCTTCTGCTAGGAGGGGAGGCACAGCAGGACATACACCGGAAACCCAGGAAGCACCTTATGGGTTGGAGGGGGGAGCAGGGAGTTGGTAAAAGAATCCAGTCTTAGATCAGTATGCAGTTGTACTTTACATTGCTCTAAGCTGAAAAATAAGAAGCTTTTCCTTTCTGACGAGAGTAGGTGGCAAGGGAAGGACTGGTGGGTCAGGGCTGCTCTGCTCATGTTGCCCATATGCATCAGCAGCTTTACTTTATTTATTTAATGTATGCTGCCCCATTAGCCATGGGCTCTCTGGGTAGTTCATAACATAACAAACAACATCATAAAATAATACAATTCATTTATAACAATCCTAATATAAAAGTATCCAATAAAGTAACAATACAATAAAAAAGAAAAAAGGCAAAGAAAAGGGCAATTGATATATATTAAATGGCCTGAGCGCATAAATAAAAGCAACCCTTACTAAAAAGCTTATCTGGCATAAAATTAGAATATGGCAGCAGAAGCAGGAATGTAAGCCATAAAAACCATTAAAAGCATTAAACCAAAACCGTTCACCTGCCAAAGTAATCACAGAAAGGGTCTGTTTTTAAGTGGTGCCTGCCAGCAGGAAGGGCTGGTCCCAGCCAAACCTGAGATGGTACCATTATGGAGAACGCCCTTCTCGCGGCCTCCCTCTTGCTTGGCTTAGAAAACACAACTCAGGGAGATGGGAAGGGCCAGCTTGGACGATGCCAGGAATTCCGCCTTCCCCAGGGGCTGCGGTCCACTCCGCCCCCAGGCCCGGGCCCCGCTGTGGGCATCCCATCCGGCTCCCGGGCTGCATCGGAGGGGCGAGGTGGGAGGGACCCCCCCGCGGCTGGCTGCGGGGGACAAGAGTGCCGACCTCACTTGGTACCTCCTGCAGGTGGACATCTTCAACAAGGAGCTGCTGCTCATCCCGATCCACCTGGAGGTTCACTGGTCTCTGATCTGCGTGGAGGTGAAGCAGAAGAAAATCACGTACCTGGACTCCCAGCGCACCCTCAACCGGAGATGCCCGAAGGTGAGAGGGGCGGCCACGGTGCTCCCTGTGGGCCTCGCCGCCACGGCGCTCTTGTCTAAGGCTTGCAAACGGCTCGTGACTTTCTTCGAAGAACCCGGGACTCTCTGGGGTGGCTGAAGGCCTCCCTAAATTCTTGGGGTTCCTTGAAGGAAGGAAGGAACCACGCTGGCTGACCATGAGTTTGTCGCCTGCCTTGAATTTGGAGCTGACGGTTGAGCCTGCTAGGAAGAAGCTACATGAAGGGTCGGTGTTTGCGGGGAGCCTCCCAGCAGGCAGAGGGGTGTGGCCTGGGAAGGGGCGGTTGGCAAGCCGGGGACCGGGTTCAGGCTCAGCTGCCTCTTCTCTCTCACCGCAGCACATCTGCAGATACCTGCAGGCCGAAGCGGACAAGAAGAACCGCCCAGACTTCAGAGATGGCTGGAAAGGGGTTTTCCAGATGGTGAGTGTTCTGCCTCCCTCCTGTCTGGGGACACGGTGGGGGGGGGGGGTGCCCCCCTCCCTCTGCACAGAGGGGAGCCCGAAATGGTGCCCGCTTCAGCTAGACCGGAGTTGCCCATCTGCGCGCCTGTGGACTGAACCTTGGCGTTGTCAGCGGCCTCGAGCTTGTCTCATCTGCCGGCAACCGGCATCAGTCCGGCATCCCAGTGCTGTGGCCCGGGGGCGTGCCGTGGGGAGCCCTGCCACAGCTTGCGTGCCCCCCAGCTCCTCCCACACTCTTTGAGGCCAGGAGGGGGCCACTGGTGCCTGGGGACCCCCCAGGCAAGAGGGGCCCAGGGGGAGGCGCCGCTGCCCCATCTCGCCTGCTGCTCCGAGTTCTGCCCAGCCGCGTGGCCGTGGCCTCACGCACTGGAAGTTCCCTGTTCTCTTTCCTCCACGGGTGGGGAGGGAATTTTGGGGGACAGACCAGGGAGCGGAGGTTGTGGGGAGACCGTGGCCATTTTCCCTAGCCTTGTGCCCTGTGCCCTGTGCCCGCCCCCCCGAACCTGGTGTATCGTGGAGGCTCTGGACAGCAGCTCCCGGGAATTCTGCATTGCCCCCCGTGCTTCTGGCGAGAACCAGGCTGGGGGGTCTGTCCTCAGTCGTGCCGGGGGCCACGCACCGTGGCGAAGACTGCGGGAGGCGATGCCGGGGCAGAAAAGCAGGGAGGCGCAACGCACGGTCCCGGAGGGAGTTCGCCCCCGGCTTGGCCGCTGCAGGACAGGAGGCCTCGGCGGTAGGCCAAGTGAGGCCCTTGGCTCGGTCAGGCCAGGATCGGCTGTTCTTGCAGGCCAGGGGAGGGGCGCTTGCCCGTGTCCTCGCCCAGAGAGGCTGATCGGCCGGAACTGGAGGACCCAGTGTTGGGGGGTTTGGCCTTGAGCGGCAGGATGTGCTGACACCTGGGGCAAACGGGCGCGAGGCACCAGGTTGGAAGGTGCCTCTTTTATAGGGGAACTGAAAGGGGAACCTGTTGGCTCAGGAGGAAGTCCTAAAAGGCGACAGCCAGTGGTGCCTTCACAGAGGCGGTCCGGGACATGGCGAGATCCCCCATGGCGCAGCTCCGGCTGCCCTCTGACCCATCTCGTTTTTCCCCTCAGAACATTGCCAGACAAAACAACGACAGCGATTGTGGAGCATTTGTCCTGCAGGTGAGGCTGAGTCTTGGCTTTTCAGAACGACAGTGGGCACCTCACTCTCCCAGATCAGGGTTCTGCGCCTCTTCTCTGACCCCACCGCCCCTTCTGGCTGGAGGACTCTGGGAGTGAGCAGGCTCTGGGGAGCCTCTGGGGTGAGCTCTGAAGGCTGCCGGAGCCCCGGGCTCGGAGCGGCCGAAGCTTCGGGGGATACCCCATCAGGGGCTCTAGGCAGACGCTGTTGGCCTCGGTTGCCCGTCCTGGGCAGCTGGAGAATTCAACGTTAGTCTAAGATTCCGCATTCTGAGATGACTGTTCAAAGAAAATCGGTCCGTTTCTAATCCTGAATGCTGCAAAGACTATTTGATGTGTCCCCATCTCGCTTTGCAAGGGAAAATCTTTACCTTGAAAGATTTGCAGAATAAGCATTATCCAAAGTATAGTGACAGAACAGGGTCCCCCCCCGCCCCCACCGGTAGCCGAGCAAGCGCCTTCTCCCCGGGCCTGGTGATCCTTGGCCAGCGCCGAGCCTTCAGCAGCGGGGGGACAGCTCTGCCCTCTCTCTCGCCTTCCCCTGGGGAAGGCAGTCCTCTGGCACAATCCGTGCAGAAAGGGCCTGACGAACCGCCGAGGCATTTGAGGAGCCGGAACGGAGCCTCGGTCGAGGAGGGCGCGTTCCTCAGGGCCTCACCGCCACGCGGAAGACACTTCACGTGACGCCGTCGTGGCGGCTGGTAGAAGTGCGGCTCCAGGGGCAGAGCGTGTGAGATTTCGGCCAGAGCCCTTTCGGCCTGGCGCCGTGCGTTCCATGTGGGCTGCCCCGCTCGGAGGGAGCCCCTGCGCGTGCCTGTAGCCGTCGCCCGCTGAATCGGGGCCCGCGCACCGAGGAGCGACGGCCCTCGCTCGATTGTAGCGGCTGTGCCGGGCGACCCGGCGGGCGCTGCTCGCGCAGGGAGCGCTGGACCTTCCTCCCTCACCCAACATGCCGCGTCCGTCCCCGGGGCCCGGCTTCCTAGCCAGATCATGTGCTGGGGCTGCCGCTGCACCCCTGCCCCAAAGCGGCCACTTCCCCTTCCTGCGCACCCGGCGGAAGAGAGCTGTGGGGCGATGGCTGCACGGGCGGGCCAGCCCCACGGAGTGAGCACCGACCCTTTCTCTGCCTCCGTGCTGCGGGGCGCGAGGCGGCTTCCCTCGCCAGGGTGATGGGCGCGAACTGTGGATGGAGGGAGAGACTCCCTCCCCACTTGGCTTCTGCGAGAGGAGGAGAAGCTGCAAGTTGCTGATTTCTCTCTGTCTCTCTCTGTCTCTCTCGCTCTCTGTCTTTGTCTGTCTGTCTGTCTCTCCCTCCGTCTCCCTCTCTCCCTCTCTCGTGTAGTATTCCAAATTTCTGGCTCTGGGCCTCCCTTTCACGTTCACGCAGCAAGACATGCCGAAACTCCGCCGACAGATGTACAAGGAGTTGTGCCACTGCAAACTCATTGCGTGATGGGCCGACACACACACACACACACACCCCCACCGCCTTGGACAGATGGACACACGACTCTCCCTTCCTGCCGCTGGGAGCAGCCCCCCAAAAGTTCTCCCTCCCTCGTTGGGGCGCAGGTTCGGATGCCATCAGATTTGGGGTACATACCAAGGGGACTGTTAGGTCACTGGAACTCCGAGGTTGAATAACCGGACTCATTTGGGGGGAATTTTTTAATCCAAGTTACCCCCTCTTTCTTCTCTTCCTGGTCTTTTTTTTGTTTTGTGTTGTTCATATTTAAACCCAGCACAGGGTGGCAGTTCTCTAGGTTGGTTTTTTGGGCTCTGGGGTGGGATTGGGGAGGGGGGGGTTATATACCTGACGTGCCCTCTGCAAATGCACCACTCCAGATCTGAGGAAGGGGCACCGCGTCCTGCAGTGGGGACCAGGAAGGGAGGGGGGAGGACTAAACCCCCCCACGGCTCCCTCTGCTTTTATCAATCTGTTGGTTACTTGTGTTAGTGGGTAATGTATGTTTTTCCCCCCCAGAAAAAGGGGAAGGCGTTGGAAAGGGGGCGAGGGATAGTGGTGGGGGGGGGGGACAAGTTTATACACTGGGGCCGAGGTAACTGAAACAAGCATTTTTTATACGAAGGCTACCATTGTGGGTAATAAAAAAGCGCTCTTTGGAGAAGCACGCAAGTGCAGCCGGACCTCCTGCCTCCCCCCGCAAAGCCACGTGCCAGCGCTTGCGGCGCCCCCGCCGGGCCGGGCACGTGGGCGAACGTTGGGCTTGGGTTTTGGTGCGGGAAACGAAAACGGGCCGGCAAGCCAGCCCCGGCCCTTCGTGCCGAAGGAGCACTTCTTAGGTTGCTCTCCTGCCTTCCGGGGAGCGCGGGGGGGCTCACATCGCCCTCCCCCGGCGGCTGCTCTGTCTCGCCCCCCAGCAGCCCTGGGAGGCGGGCTGGCCTGAGGGCCTGAGACGGGCCCCGCGCCCCCCGGCGAGTTCCGCGCCCGAGCGGGGACTGGGACTCGGACCGCCCGGGTCCCAGCCTGGCACTCGCCGCCACGGCCCACCTGGCTTCCCGCAGGAGCACGAGGCGAGTCCCAGCGTTGCTCGGGGGGGCTGCCCAGGCGGGGTTCTCGGGGTGGGGCCACAGCCCTTGGCTAAGGGCCCGGCTGCCATGGGTTAGCCGGAGTGGCACCGGTCACTGCAGAAAAGCGAGTCACGCCGCCCGGGCGTCCCGCCTTCCGTAACGCGCAGCCTCTGTCAGAGCGCTTCCGCTGGAGAGTCCTGAGAGAAACCGGGTGAGGCCGGGCGCAGCCAAGCTTCAGGGGCAGCGCTGGGCATGGGCCAGGTGGTATCGCAGGTGGTTTGCCTCTGGGGAACATGGGTGGGAGAGTGCCTGCTGGACTCGACGCTCAGCTCCAGCAGGGTTCCTGTCCCCCAAAAGCTGCTCCAAAGTCCGCTTCAGCCCCTCTGCTTCCTTCCCCCGCCGGGCATTTTGGACTGCCATTCCCACCCTCGCTTGCCCTGGGCTACGCTGCCGAGGATCAACGGGAGTGGTGGACCTCAGTGAGTTCCCGCGTTCGGCGGCTGAGGCCCGTGCAAGAGCCCCGCAGTTCATGTGCGAAGTGGAAGCCGGGTGGTGTGGAGCAGCTCTCCTGCTCGGCCGGGACAGGAGGCTCTGGTGGGAGACTCGGGAGGGAGGCCGTGGCTGCCCCAGCCGTGGCTCAGACGCTCTCCGATACTGAGTTGTTGGGACTGGCGTGGCCCCGGCTGCCCAGCCGCTCCCGGTGAGCTGGCCCAGCGCATCGGGCCTGCGCGTCCACGTCTCCGGGTGTCGCTCCCCCGAGAACCCCTCCCCAGCCTGTTCTGCGCCGGCTTCTTCCTCACAATCACTGGGAGGGGGCTCAGCGGTTGTCCCTGAAGTACTTTGGCCTGGCGGGCAGCCGGGGCCTGGCTAGTCCCAGCCACACTGTGGGAGTGAGAACCCCGAGCCCCGGCCGGCCCGGCTCTCCTCTCCACTCCCCTCCTCTGCTCCGAGTCTGGGCCGCCATTCCCACCAGAGCCCTCCATCTCCGTGCGAGCAGGGGGAGCTTGGCCCGAGCCAGCCCAGCGGCTCCTCCACGCCTAATCCCAGGGGTGGGTGGGTTGTGTAAGGAGGCCGGGGCAGAGTGGGCCAAAGCGCCTTTGTGAGGGAGGGGCTGCAAGCCGTTCCTGGCATCCTAAGCTGTAAGGGGCCTGTGGACAGTTGTGTATTTAAGCGGCTTGGGTTCCACTCGATACCCTGGGATCGCCGGGCCTGATCATGGAAATGCAATATAAAGCCTAGCGAAAGCAGCAGTATGACCAGCACAAGCAGGCTGGGTGAATTGCATGTCTTCAGGGGGTGCCTAGAGCTCCCCGGTTTCCGCCCGTGGGGGGCCCGGTGGGAGTCGGTGCTGTCCGCCGGAGAGCAGAGGCTGCAGCGGCGGCCGCTACCTCCACGGCGCCTGGCAAGGGCTGCGCTGGACGAGATGCCCCGTGCCTCGCAAGGCGCCCTGACGCGTGTCTTGGGTGGGATGCCAGGCGGTGAAAGGTGTGGCGAACTAATGCCTGGGGGGGCGGCGGGGAGGGCCGAGGAGCTGGGACCGTGCTGCAGTGGGGCGGGCGCAAGGATGCCAGGAGGTGCCCCCCAGGGTATGGCGGGGGCCCGGGGGGCTGGAGCCGGGGCGGCCCGGGCGTCCCTGCGTGCCGCCAGGGGGCAGCTCCGCGGCGGCCGCGCCCGAGGGCGCTTCGGGGCGAGCGGGAGCCGCCGCCAAGCCGCGCTGCCCCCCGGCTCCTCCGGAACCCGCCCCGTGACTCATGCGGCCCAGCTGCTCCGCGCGGCCACGTGCGACTGACTGGGGCGGCTCCAGGCCTGCGAGGCCGGGCCTTTCGGCGGCAGCCGCCCTTCCCGGCGGGCGGGCGCCGATGCGCCTCCCGCCCGGCCCGCGGCCGCTTT